TAGTATATCATTAGTCGACTGTTTCATCATTCTATACAGAAGTACCAACTACAGGTACGAACATGAGTGTTTTAGCGTTGAATTGTTAATTATTAAATTTATATGCACTTTGCTCCAGCAGTTGGAAGTGCAGTTACCCGCTACACTCAATTTAAACCAGCTTAAGTCTAGCCCCGTCATGTTCTGTACACTCTCCACTGCAATCTTCTCCGCTTAACCTCCTTTCACTCGATTCGTTCATCCTTTCAATGCTTAAGTTGCGAAATGATTCTCGGTCGCTGCTCAGGATCATCTCAATCACAATATGACTTTAGAGTGGGTCTCCCAGAAAAATGACTGCAGCGATGGCCTATCTAGTATCTTTCTATGGTTAATTTTAGATAATCTAAAATTTTGTCCTCTTCTCCCACTGGACATTTAATTTTCCTTTTCAGTCGTAATTTACTCGTGAATGTTTTTTTTCTTTACTAATTACTGTATCTTTACTGAGTAAAGACGAAAATAATTTTTGTTGGACGAATACTTGTTCGTGGCTACTCTTACAGTAGTTCTAGTTTCATGGCTAATTACTTGATAGTTTGAGGCTAAATTACTCCGCAGAGTCACAGACTTAAACGTATAACATCTTTGCTTGTAAATATTTAAGTTAAAAGCATGGAATTAAGGGTTAATAAGAGAGACTTCTTCCATATTTGGTAATATCTGATAGGTTAGTAGGTTATTTATAAAACTTGACTGGCAACTCTTGTTTATCATCCCCTTTATTGCGACGATTTAAGCTATTTTCATACGAACTCAACGAGTCGTCAGAATGTTACATGAAAGGAAATAAAAATGTTGATCTTACTGAAGACACAGAAACGCAGCATGGCAGCATCTCATTTCAAAACGGCCTCTGTAAAAATCACAAAGATATCGCCATAGCGCACCACGTCAAATGTATCATGCTAGGAAGGTGTCAAGTTATATTCAACCCTCGCCGGAAACATAATTAGGCCGCATGACCGGAAGTGGCGGTGTCGTTGCTCTAGGGATGTCCTTATTGGCTGACAGTGGTGCGAGGTTTGAATGTCATAACAGATCTGAACACACATACAGAAAGATCGTCCCCATAGGAATCACCGTAGGAACTCGAGATCGTGTTTTGATAGCATCGAGTTTTTTAAAAAGGTTCGGATAATGTATCAGTAAAGGGATGCCGTATAGTTGTGTTAGTTTTGACGTTTCATTACGGGAGACTTCAATGATACATGGATTTGAAGTATATCCCAGATAAAATCTACAAGTTTGTTGTTATGTTTAATGAGTTTAAAGATCCATGAAAACTCATAAGTCATGTGGCCGTTACGGATATTGTTACTAAGAACCGTTGCCCAAAGAGCTTAAATATTAATCAAAAGGAGATTATATAAACTATAATCTAACATTAATTTGGAAAACATTCAAAATATATTTTTACCGTCCTAAGCATTTTAATAATTTTTAGATTTAAGCTGTTGTTTGAAACTCGTAGGCATTGGAAGTCAGTCATGCATTAAAAAAGAACACCTTTGTCAGAAGCGTACGGTTTTTGGTATTATGGATTCAAACATTATTGGCAAAATAAATAGAACACTCACACATTTTATTTAAAATATACACGATTCCAAAGAAAATTGTCCTTGCAAAAATGCACGTATTTAAATTGTTTCTTATCTCACCATTGTGAACTATTGAATTTTTTTTATTAGGAATTTATTACCGCGCTGCATACTGATTGATTTTATATCGGTATTTAACAGCTTGGTGTCAACAAAGGTAATTTATACTTGTATTATTCATTACAAGTATAAATTACCTTTGTTGAGCTGTTGAACTTGTTGAAAACATTATTCATATAATGTTTTCAGTACCCAATGTAGGCCTACACATTAGTAAAGATCACTAAACATTTTCAGTATACGTTTTCATCATGTTGTTGGCACATGGCCATGCCACTAAAAGGCTAACAGTAGTTTTAGTGGTACAGGTTGGTAAGATGTAAACATGACGCAAGCAAATCGGTATATCAAAACACTCGAGCTAAATTTAAACTCGCACTGGCTATGTCCAGCAGGAGCTGCCGGCAGACTTTGTTTTGGCACAGATCTGCAGCGATTCAACCTACAATTTAATGATCTGCCTCCAAAAACTACGTTATGAAAACATGCCAGTGTTAGGGTTCAAGGGAAATCAGTAATTTGGCAACTTTACATGTTACTGTATTTTATAGATTTTATTTTATTTGTTTACGTTTCAGAAGCCTATAGGCCTATTCTCTTTACTGCTCAATGATTTCTCTCTATCTCTCTAAAAAAATAGAGTTTCAACTTAAAATTTGTTATTATAGATAATAATCTACTTACGTATCACGTATGCCAGTAGGTGTCAATTATTAAAACTTGATATGCTGTACATGTTTCAAGCCTAAATACGGCTCATCTTCAGCAGCATTTTTCTATGTACAATTTTCACATCGAGAGATGATTGTCGACTATATACAGACCACATATACACACAAACACAGAACGTTTTAGCATGCTATTTTTATTATTTACATGTGTTTTTGTAGCGTACGCTCGTTTAAACAATACCCGACCGGACGACATTTGTAGGCCTACTGAGGAACACGAACACGGGAGGGGGGGAGTGACGTCACGGTATCAGCTGACTGGTGGTTGTCATTTCCAGTTTTGTTATCTACATCGTAATACAGCTGATAGGTGATTTTGTCCGAATATTCCTCTCTCGTATTTAACATGGTTTCATTGCCGTGTTCTTTCACATGTTGGTAAATAAATAATTCCTCCCATACTTTGGCTTTGTTTTTCTGGCTACAACTTTTCAAAATACTTAATGATTTTTCAAACTCGATTTTATGACCTATGTTATCCTTAAGATGTTGTGCAACAATCGACGTAGGTTTATTCTGTTTAGAGGCATTATGTTCCTTAAACCTTTGAGAAAACGACCTATTTGTGTACCCGACATATTTTTTGTCACATTTGTCACCACCGTTGCATTGTATGAGATATACCCCTTTATCTTGCTTTTTATCAATGGATCGTTTCTGTCCTTGGAGATGGTTTCTGTTGATTTTGTATCCAGGGTGGAATCCATAATTTTTGAAAATGTTGCCAATTGTTTCAGAGTGTTTGTTTACATAGCAGAAGGGGATATATTTTTTATTTGTAGAAGGATTTTTCGGTTTATTTAGGTTCTGTTTTGTTTTCCTAATTAAGTTGTCAACTAATTGAACATTGTAGCCATTGTTAAAAGCAATCTGTTTAATAATGCTCTTTTCTTTTTCAAATTCACGGGGACAAAGGTTGTATGTAAGAAGTCGGTAAACCATGGATCTGAAAGCTGCTAATTTATATTGATTAGGGTGATTGGAACTTTTCGGTATTACTAAGTCAGTTTGTGTGGGTTTCCTATAGATGCCAAACTCATATTCGCCATTGTTTGCTTTGGTTATTTTAATGTCTAAGAAATTTAGGCAATTGTTGGTTTCCAGTTCCATTTTAAATTTGATGGAGTTATGAATCTTGTTTAAATGTTTTATGAAAACGTTTGCTTGTCAGCTGATATCGTGACGTCACTCCCCCCCTCCCGTGTTCGTGTTCCTCAGTAGGCCTACAAATGTCGTCCGGTCGGGTATTGTTTAAACGAGCGTACGCTACAAAAACACATGTAAATAATAAAAATAGCATGCTAAAACGTTCTGTGTTTGTGTGTATATGTGGTCTGTATATAGTCGACAATCATCTCTCGATGTGAAAATTGTACATAGAAAAATGCTGCTGAAGATGAGCCGTATTTAGGCTTGAAACATGTACAGCATATCAAGTTTTAATAATTGACACCTACTGGCATACGTGATACGTAAGTAGATTATTATCTATAATAGTATATTAAAGGTGTCAAGGCTGATTAATTTGATATTAAAATTTGTTAGATAACAGAAATATTGTATAACTCGTTAACAGCTACAATTTCCTAAAATTGGTGCCTCTAACGTTGGCAAATTAAAAATTATAAGTTAATTTTCCAAACGTGAATGATCATTGGATTACTTTTCACACATCAGTTTCTATTTACCAAGTAGTTGTTGGTACCATTATTACAGTATATGGAACAAACATTGCACGTAATTCTTGGTGCAAGTGTGTAGTTGTGTGTGTGCGCCATACAAGGCGAGAGAGCAGAGAAAGCTGTGATAAGGCAGGACAGGAAGTGGGAAGTGCAACTTTGTCATGATACTGAGACTAAGAAGTCTGTAACTTAAATTCAGCGAGGTTGTCTTTGGATCACCAGAACAAAATTGTCTTGTGTAATCATACCATGGATTGAATTTTAAATATACTGTATACTGAAAACTTAAAAACAGAGTTAATGCATTAGTTGTCCACTGAATGCAAAATAAATAAATAAAAATTCCTTTATCTCCAAGTGAAAGATTGATATTTATGAAAATAGATTTTTCTATTGATTAAAAAGAATACAAAAGAATTAATGTTTTGTTTGTAGGACTTGTAACAAAGAATAGTCAAGGTGGTATATAATTTGAGGTTTTTAAGCCTAATTATGTTCTCAAAAATACTGCCTTCAGTGCCTTCTTTCTCATTACTCTTAACCGGGGCCAACGTTTTAACCCAATAGCCTAGCATGAAATTTTGTATTAGTAGCAAAACTCAATATAATACCCCTAGTATTCTGAGAATCAACACACCAGCAATCAAAACTCGCCATGCTTGTTTTTGCATTCAGATTTTCTTTTTAGGGTTTCTCTTACACTCGTACTGATACAATCCATATATTACCTATATTTTTGGCACCCTCTTTTTGTTTGAATTTTTTATTTGAACTCGTTAAATAGATTATGTTGTTTGTTATGGCTATTCTTCTATGGAGCGGGTTCTAAGAGCCGTTGCTATGAAGATATGTAATATCCTTTATTCATGTTCGGTTGCTTGTTGCAGATGTCAACCGTGTGGCTTGCAATGCTGTCGCGGCTGTTGGCAAGGTGGAGGTGCCTCGACCGGTGTCGCAGCCGTTGCCCTCTGTACGGCTGGATGTTGCCACTAAGGAGCTGCGCCACGCTGCGCAGGGAGTCCAGGCATTGGGCGTCCTACTTAACTACCTCGTCTACGACGTAAGTTTTTTTACTGAAAATTCCTCCTTCATCCATTATGTGACAATGCAGAGTCCAGTTGTGAGCGTTAACCTTTTAGATAATGTAAATTTACTAGTATCTGGAAGGATTCTAACTTGAAACCATTAACTGGATTCTGAAACAAATTTTGTTAAGTTATTGAGCTTTCTGAAAACGTCCAACGGTGTTGGACCTTACCCTACCCACCAGCGTTAGTGCTAGACACTTGAATGTTTTCTCTCTACCTTACTTTTCTTTGTAAGTCCCAGAATGAAAAAAATAGTTCATAATGTGTTTGGAAGTTCCATATTACAATACCCTCTATATTCTAATTTGGAACCTCCCAACAAGTTCTGGACACTATTTGATCATTCTGGGACTTCCGTAAAGAAGTAAGGTACAGAGGAAACATCCAATAGGACATTTAAGTGGTGTCTAGCACTAGTCGCTGGTGTCAAGGGCATAGTCCAACACCTTCCCTCTCGCCCTCATGTACTGCAACACTTGCGGTGGAGGAAGACTCTGCTCCCTGTGCAATAGGAATTTCATCACAGTATTCGTCGCTTGAGCTCTTGCTCAGCAAAAGTATAATTCCACAGTCGTCGATAAGAAAATGTCCTCTCTACCTTACTTTTCTGTGGGACATCTAATTGGGAGAGTTCTAAGGTTTTTAGCAAGAAACATTCTGGGCACTTCTAACATGCAATGTTTTTCATGTGGCGGCTAAAGGGTGTTGCCTTTAAACTAAACATGAGTTTACCGAATCCCTGCTACTGGCTATTAAATCCTACAGGTCTGGCTTAAAAATAGGGGTTAAGGTAAATTGTAGAGGCAGGGTAGGAAATGTCAGTGTGACATTTACTCTCATTTGTTCCCTTGTTAAAGAGGTTTTACAACATTGATTTAATGTAACACTGTTGTGTTTCAAATCGTCTTTAATTTGTAATGGTGAATAAGGATGTACTGTGTTTTCTTATTTTTTTAGTACTGGTTTTGGTTTATAGTTTTAATCTATGTCTACAGTTAACCAGTCTAATTTGCAATGTTTTCTGAAAATGACGGTGAATCAAAATCGCTTACATTTAACAAATATAGGATTGGTTTATGAAAATGTTCATTGTTATAGAAGAAGATTTAGAGTGGTCAGTGTGATTTAAATCATTCTTTAAACACATTTTTTAATTTTACAGTACATAAATTTTAAAGTGAAATCCCTAGATATGTAACTGTAATTGTAACTGAATCTTAATACAATTAGTGCTCTTTTTAACACGTTCACTGCTAATGACGCACTTGTGCGTCATAAGTATATTAGCAGATATATAATACATGATGTATATAATTACATAATATATTTTAATCCACAATTTATAGTATAAAATTTATTTAATTAAAGATATATTGTCACTCAATTAACATGATCATGTTAATGTTTATGTTTTTTAGCCATTTATAAAAGTATTACATATCATTAGCAGTGAATGTGTTAAAACGTAATTTGAGCATTATCTAAACTCTAAAGAATGACTTTGCCTGGTCGTGAGTCCTTACAATCTTAATGATGAATGTGTCGTGATCTGTCCTTTACTATAATGACAAGTGCCAGATTGGCATGGATATACTAAGTGGAACAATACCTATAACAAGAGATTCAGCTCATCTGATTGAACTACAACTGCTAATTCAGTATCTCAATCTGCTGAGATGAAACTTCAACCTTGGCTCCAAACCAGCTGACTCGTCTCCAAAACTGATCTAGAAGCCGTAGATTACGCTTACACTTTTAGAAACTTCATAAAAATAAACACAGCTCTTTTGCCGATTTCTGTAATAAAGTGCACACCTCAAAATAAATATTTACCTAAGTATCTATGTCAAGGGATACACTGATGATTATTGTGGTGATCATTATAAAATAATTTTTTTTTGCAGCTTGATGCATTTTCAAATCCTCAACTGAAAAAGGACTTGGGCAAAATGAGAGAAGATTGGCTGAACACTAAACTCCAAATGGGTGAGTAAAAAATTAAGATAATCAATTAATTGTCACAGACAATTTGTTGTAACAGACTTATGGACAATTATTTTTCTATACGGTGATTGTTTTGCTTGTTTCCTCATATTATGTTGTAAAATATTGGAATACAGTACTATTCAGTATATATTTCTATTATAATATGTTCAAATTATGAGACCTGGTAGTAATATTTTACTTGTGATGTTGATCTAGCATTTTCTTGTTTTTTTTCTGGATTTTGGTTACTTTTTTGCACTGGCATGCTTAGAAACCAAGTAGGCTTACAATATTTTGACATCTTCTATAGCTTAGATGCCAGTCTGGAATTTTCAAAGCTTTCTATTTACTTCACAGTATTATTTCAGTAAACAGTAATTTTACCAACATTTTACCAATTTCATGTAATTAGAACTAAATAGCTTCCATAACAGCTTCTGAATAACATTCTATACAAATATCGTACATAATTAGTTGAAATAAAATCAAGATATTTGTCGATACAGATTTAGTTTGCTATGCACTTGCTATTTTCTCATTTCAGTTGTTTGGTATGAATTGTTTCATTCAACAACCATTAAATTTACAGAGGAGTTCCAAGCGAGTTATCGTCGGTCGGAGGAAGAGAAGAAGGACGTTTTGTTGCGGCTGGAAGAAACTCAATCCCTACTCAGCTCACAAGCAGACAGCCACAAGGAACAGGTGCAACAACGTAAGTGTTTATGATGATGGACTTTCAAAAATTGTTAAATTCATAACTGTATCATGTCTATTTTACTGCCTTCAATCCTTTCCCAGGCTCGCAGTTTGCTGATGCACTCTGGGCCTGATAGATAACTACGCCCCCTCCCTCCCCTCCTTTCTCGAAGGGGAATTATTTTGTTTAGGGCCCATTTACTAAATCGGTCCTGTCCTTACCTACTATATTTTACCATTTCTATTTCTTATATTTATACCATGGCCATTTACATCCAAGAAGATATTTGGTTGCACTGATCCATCGAGTTCTTTTGATCCTAATTGTGTCTTCTTCATCCTCCCATTCTCATGTCTTTGCCTATTTATCCTTCCATCGCTTTTTTGCTGTCCAGGGCAACAACTAACTAATAAATAAGTTTAACTATTAAGGAAATAATACTATTGGTGATTGTTGAAATGAAAAGAAAAAAACTAACTAAACGAAAGAGATTCTATTTTTGAAACTCACTTTTATGTAATGCCTTGGACTTATGTGTTTTGGACAACTACTAAGGGCAAAGTCCGCAGTCGATTATCATAAAAATATTTTCTCATTATATTATTTTCTAACGCATAATTGATGCATGATAAAACAAGATATTGCTTTTCTGGTTTTTAGCATGTTTACAAAATTCTAAAGTCAGTTGTTACTCTAAAAGTTCTAGGTTTGTATCACTCTAATGGTTTTTATCAAACTCTTTTTTTCCAGTGCAAAAGATCCATGATGAGAGAGTTGAAGAACTGGAGAGGAGGCTAAGCAGTAAGGTAAGTGTTTAATTTTGTAAAATTGTTCTAGAGATTGAAGTTCTCTTTTCTGTTTTATCCCGGTTATATTTAACTCCCTACAACTTATAATATTTTAATATATCAAGTGTGCTGCCTACTAAGAATTGCTACCTTCAGAGACCTGCTGCGGCTGGGGATTTAGCTTCTCAGTTCAGATTGTTAAAGCAATAATATGAAAAGTGAATACATACATTGTGTCATGAGTAGTGCCAATAGTATTATTAAGAGCTGTATGCTCTTGAGTATGTTTTCATGTTCACATGATGATGATGTGTGATAAGTCACCCACAATGTCCAACATTAAACCAGAAATAGTGTGATAATATACTATGCAGTTGAATTTAGAAGAACCAATTAAAATACCCACAGAAAATCATAGATTTGTTAGTGGTTTAGTACTGAATATTATAATTACTTTTAGTCTTAATTTTATTGTGAAGTTATCAGATTCAAACCCAACTAGAAAGATTTTGACCAAAACTTGATTGCTTTTCTATATGGTTTTGTTCAATAAACCATTCCTAAATATTCAAATTTGTACCTTAAGGCCACTTAAATTTATGTTCCTGTCTCCCAAGAAGGTGTTTGTCCTCTCAACCTTCACTCCCCACAATCCTTCTTGGTTTTGCTTCCCTCCCTATTCAAAACTATACTCTTGTTTCTTTCTGCACTATCAACCCATGACAGTCTAAAATATCCCAGTGGTCTGGAGCCTTGCATATTATTTTCTATTTCAACATTCTCTCAGTTTAGAGTCCATTTCTCATGCATACAAAACTATCTCATTAGTCTTTTGATTTTGATTGCAAAATTTTGCAATACAAGACTAACAGATGGTTTATTTTCAGGTGGAGAATTTGCAGCAACAGCACGCTTTGGAGTTGGAACATCTGAAGAAAGAACACGCGTTGGAAGTTGAGAAGCTACAGACAGAGGCAGCTCAGCGGCTCACGGAGACAGAAAAACAGCTGACTGAGCGGATAACAGCTGTTACTTCGGACTACGAACATATCAAACTGCAGAGCAAGTCACTGCTGGAGTCCATGCATTCTGACAAAGACGCCAAGCTGCAGGTATACATTTGTGTCTAAATATCCTTGTGGTCATAATGCGTTCTCATCCCGCTCATAACTTATGGACAAAATAAGCATGAAACGTTCTATTGGTTGTCTTTTTCAATAAGTTGTTCCTGCAGTATACTAACTTTTGATTGCACAAAAAACCCTGGGAGGCGTGAACTTACAATCAATAAAAAATCCAATTGTTTTGCTGTTGGTATAATTTACCCCGGATGTCCGCAGGCAACAGCAGGTCGCTGCAGAATGTTGGAAGACGAGGTGGCAAGTTTACGTGCAGTGTTGGAATTGCGCAGCACAGAACTACAAGATCTGCGCCGCAGCAGTGAGGTAGCACATAGAGACGCATCACAACTGCCACATGCACAGCAACGCATCACCGCTCTGCAAGCTCGCGTAGAGGACCTGGAAGTGCAGCTGGAGAGGAAGACAGCTGTGGAACAGTGAGTATTTTGGCATAACAAGTGAACTATATTGAAAAATATCATGCCATCCCATCAAAACGGATTGTGTAAAGCATGTAACATAGAACACAAAGGGCTAGGGTTGAAGAGGTTTGTTGGGATAGCAGTCTTCCATGGATGGGAAAGAGTCCATATACAATCTAATGAGGATATAAAGAGTTAATATATTGGTACAAGAAACACAAAACTTAACTCAGTTAAGATTTCTATCCCCCAAAAATATGTTAATTGTTAATTTATTACAAATCAACAACAAAAACCAGTATAAACGGCCTTCTATGATTCAACAGCAGTATTGGTTATATGAACTCGTTAGCTTACTGATCTCGGCATTTAAAATATAAATAGGTCCTGAGTAAGAAATTAATCATGAACAAAGACTAAGAAATGCCTTGAATATTCACGGACTCACAATAAAGTAATAATAGCAAAGAATGAAAGTTAACTCTGTAGATAACCAATCATCACATTCTTGGAATGGCTGACAAATTACCATTTTGTGTAGATCGCTAGCGGCTGAAAAGGCTGCTATGGAGCAGAAAGTACAGCAAGAGGATAACAAGAACAAGCGGCTGTCTCAGTACAACGAGGAACTCATGTGGAAACTCAAACACAGCTCCGAGGTTGTCAGTGCACTAGCTGCACTCTCGCAGGCGGACCTGTCTGGTGAATATGTCTTTGAATACTATAAAATGAAGTAACGTACAGAGGTAATAAGTAATGAACACATAGTGTGTCCGCATAGCCTGTCTGTACAGTAATCTGTTTTTGGTTTTAAAATAGATGATTGAATTTTTTTTAGCTAAAATTATGTTTAGTTTAGTTTTGTTTTTATTTCTCAAGCTTTTACCAGCCGTTTTTTGTGGGGGGGGGGGGGGGCGTAATACTAGCGCTAGCTACTTTGGCCTGTTGATCTTTTGTAGCACCCCTCCGGTTTGTCTGACAGCCCTTAGCAGCTGTGAGTCACCTAAATTTCTTATCTGCTCAGGTTCGAGTTTTTGCCTTCCCAGAGATTTCGATCTTCATAGGGCCACAAGTTTTCGGAGGTTTACACCTTGGTTTTACAGAATCTGCATTGGTCTGTGACCTTCCAATTATGTTTACTTAAAATTATGTTCAATTTTATTGATCATACACATATACTTTTTTGTATTAATGTTTTAAATGATTGTCTAATGTTTTAACACCCCAAAAAAATTTCCTTGTATTACCGATTGTGTTTCTAAATCAAAGACACCTATGAAGGATTAAAATTGTCTGTATTTGATTGGTAAAAGAAAAAGAACTTTTAGAATACTTCATGATGATGATTTTTTTATTTAGTTAATAAATAATAATACTATATGGTTATATGCAAACTTTTTCAACTTTATAAAACTTTTTTAGGGTCGAAGAATGTTCATTTACTGCCAGTGTCACCACACTCCAATTTCACAACCCCTAAACACTGCCAGCAAGAATCTCATTACAGGTGGGTTAAAATATTGGTATGCATTTTAAAAGTTCTACATACATTAAATTTGACTGCTTTTGTAATAGAAGTATAGTGTTAGCAAAACGGGAGTGCCGATGGAGACCTGTGGGGGTGCGTGCGTTTGAAGGGACTTGACCTGGTCTTCATCGGCACTCCCGTTTTGCTAACACTGTAATAAAAAACTAATTAAAAACTAAATATTTTTGTACTGGTATGTATTAAAAGTAATAAGTGAACGTTATGCAATTTTTTTAGGGGTTTTATAGTTATAGAGACAAAAATAGGGGGGTTAACTTACAAACGGTCCGGTAGTTCTAAATTTGTTATATGTTGTCTAGGATGGTAAGTAGGTGTTTAAAATGCAAAATACACAACTCCCCCCCTCTGCGCCCGCCACCATATTGATAAAATCGGCACTTTCTTGAGATTTTTGCATCTACCGGGTTAGCTTTCCGCTCTGGCATGAGTTTTAAGCCTGTGTTAAATAATATCACGAACCACGTAGAAAACTGTCGCTAATATTTATGAGCCATTTTTAATCATGGTTAGAAATACAAATTCAAATTAGCCGTTATTTGAAAGTCCACATAGCGTATATATAAAAAAAATCGGAATAACTTTATTTTTTCCCCTTTTGATTAAGTTAATATTTTCTTAGCCATAAGTCGTAGAAACTTATTAAACGTAATTATAGGAAATTTAATTGTCTATAGCATTGACTAAATCTTCTTTTTCACTAAAACGTACCAAGACATACTGAGATATATGCGATTATCTCAAGAAAGTGGTATTTTTTTTTATTTATTCAAAATGGTGGAGGGGGAAAATTGTGTATTTTGCATTTTAAACACCTACTTACCGTCCTAGACAACATATACAAAATTTAGAACTTCCGGACCGTTTGTAAGTTAACACACATCTATTCACTGGTTTATAACTAATAATTATCTTTAACTGCATCTGTAAATAAGTGTGTCAATTGGTGAGTTATATTTATACTGTTTTCATACAGAAATTATCCAAATGTATCCTTATAAAATTGGCCAACCTACTTGTTAGAAGTTGTCAGTTTATTATATACAGCTAGTGTAATAATTTGAATAATCTGTTAAATATTTTATACTTTTTAGTCTTTGCAGTTGTTGTTTCATTGCTAAGATTCAGTTATGATTTAAATGCTCATTATTGTATTGTTGTGAGTTCAAATTGGAAATAAAAGTGTATGTTGAAAGTAATAATTGCTCTCTGACTTAACGTTTTTGCTTTTACTATCCTATAGAATTTAAATATAAATGTAGATGTGATTCCAAAACAACTCATCTTCAAAGTGATTTAGAAAATTACTTATTCAAAAGTAAAGGATATAGTCTCAGTCATAGTACGGTAAAATATAGTCACAGGATATAGTTAATTTAAAGGATAGTCTCTCTCAATGTGGAAGAGGGCATTGCGAGCCTCACGCAAGGTTTCAGCTATCAGAATTTACTTTAAACTGATAATTATTTTATATTTTCCAGAAATGGAGTCAAGGGAAGCACCAGCAATGACGATTCCCCACCGCAGTCTCCCAAGGTGAAAGGGGTCGTAGAGAAGAGTGACTCTGTGTCATGGGTGTTGGATCTAGGATTGGACGAGAGCCCCAACAACATTGCGACACGTCTGGTGCGCAGAGCTCACAGCATGAGAGCGGTACAGTCGGCCACTCCTTCCCCTGCTCACCACTCGCGCACCCTACCCAATCCTCACAAGCGGCAGCGTAGTCGGACAACCACCTGCGTATCCGGCTCACACAAGCCCCAGCGCACAAGGTCCTTCTCCTTCGACTCTGACTCGTCTGAAGTGTCTGTGCCGAGAAAGTTGGCTGCAGATTGGGACGGAGAGTTCTCCCCCGGGAGAGATAGTACGAGCCCACCGTCTCGCACAGGCAGTCAACTAGACGACATTGAAGATCTAATCGTCGTGGAAACTATCGGTGAAGACAGACTCAGTTTTTTAGACCTGGAACGTCACATAAATAGAGAGAAAATGGAAGTGATGGGCGGAGAAGATTTTGCTTCCCCTAAACTATCTTCTTCCAGCGGTGGATCAGAAGCGTCCGTTCACACTAGACGAAACGAACAGAAAGTCATAGAGAATGAAGAGATCCTCATGATAAACAGAGTGGACGGACTCGTGTCTTCCCTGCCCAAGGAATCTGCTGGGGAAGCGATGATATCGGAAGAAGCGTCAGACAACGACTCCGGGACCCGAGATTCGGACGAGGAGGTCCAGAAGTACTGTTCCGATGATGATAGCTTATCGGGGAGCGCCTCTGAACTGATTGAGAGAAGGAGGAAATATTTTGAGCACAAAATCAAAGACTTGAAACATCAAAATTTGACTGTAAAAAAGGTGAATGACCTCATGCCTGGTTCCAATTCTGGCAGTGTCTCAGCTGCTACCACCGCAATGGATCTCAGTTGGTCGGAAGATATTGATTTACTCCCTTCCGAATCGGAAGGTTAGCCGGTCTTGTGCCAAATGGAAATATACTTGAATCAAAAGGACTTATGAAACATAGCTTGACTTGCATATTACCATCGCAGATTGCTTGCAAAATTTTATATACAAATTTTACCGTGGGCAACCTAGCAATTGATAAAAACTTAAAAAGCTTTAATTATGCTGCTATGGGATCAACCGATTTCTATATTTTCTGTGGCTTATCTTTGTCTAAAATAAGAAAAACCTAATTTTAAATTTAATACAACTTTTAAACTCATATTTATGAAGAAGAGAGTGGAAAGTTAGGTTTTATTTTTTTAGGCTGGATTCAAGTTTAGGTGAAGGGTCGTCTTGTTTATTTGTGTAAATGTGAATTTGTAAATTAATAGAAATGTTGTGTACTATGGAAAGTCTAAACAATGTGGGAAGTTGATTCTTAAATTTGTCTAATGAGTTTGTACAAAGACTTGCACATTTATGGGTTAAGGGAAAATCTTGTATCTTGTGTTTTAATAAAGTTTTACCAAGGATAAATGTGTAGGGATGCGTTTTGAGACATTGGTAATACTTTAATTTCATTTCCAAGTTACTGTATAATATAGAAATTCAGTATTACTTTAGGCACATAAGTTGCTAGTCATAGACTTTGTATTTATTTATTATGGATTTCATTTGTTGTGGTTGTGAATGATGCTGTTTTGTATAGTGTTTAATTTTTGTGTACTATATTGTTAAATTTAGTTGTAATTAGATTCTTGTCTCATATTGTAAAGGAAAATTTAAAATTTTTAGTATTTTACAGCTGTTTAAATACTTTTATCGTTCATATTGTAACACTTTCTAGACTATACATGAATGTTTTTATGACTTTTATTGCTGCAGCCATTTAATTTTACAGTACAAAATCATTAGACACAAATTATCGTGTTTGATTATGTATTTAAAGATTTTAAACCGATTTCAAGTATTATTTGCTGTCTTTATGTACTACTATAATAAAGTTAGACCATATTTATGAAAACCAAATTTGTTTCTATTCTTTCCAAACATTATTAAGATTTAAGACCAACATAAAAATTTTGAGTTCACTAAATCATAAAGCTTGGCCATGATATACTTACTTGATACTTGAACTAAAAAAGGTATACTTAAGACACAATCCTATTTGTACTTCAAAGTTTAATGTACCAGAAATTAGTACTGTAGATACAGTACCAGAATATTTGCCAACAAACTCTCCAAATTTATTTGTCTATCAGTCACAAATTTTTATTGATTTATCAATGCGAAGAGACATAAGCTTAGAGCAGAGACGGAATGGATGGAAATCAGAGAAAGGTGGCGACTTGATATTGGCGAGGCAAACTTACTGAGGTTTGAGGATTGACGTTAGTTACCTAAGTCTATGTTAATTGTAACCATTTAATAATTTAAACATTTCATAATCTCTTTCATCTGTAGGTCCATTTATCTGGAAATACTTAACACCATGAACCAGTTTACGAAATAAATCACTCTGCCAATTACTCCCTTGTTTTAAAGTTGTGATAAAACCTAAGATTTATTTGCACTACAAAGAGGTAGTGTTATTTATCAAAATTCCTTGGATGGATGTCTCAGGCCTAGCGTTCTTGAATCAGAACGGACTTTCCTGGTATAAACAACCAAACAATAGGAGTAATTTAAAAACTACCTATTTTATATTTTAGTATTTTAGTCTATGGCTTGCATATTCTTGTAATTTTGACATAATAACTAAACAAAAAAAAAATATGGTTTTGTTTTGTTAATTGATTAAAATCTTTGACTTATTTTGCTGATACATTGATATCATTCTCTTTAAAAAAAAGTTTCAAAAATATACTAGCTTTAACTACTATGTACCATATATGAGTGAAAATTTAAAAACGTACGTTTTCAGGAAAAGCACTTTTAAATTTTTTTGTTCTGTTTTTTGAAACTTTTTTTATTTTTTTAAATTTATTGACATTTGAAGTTTCATAAAATGTCCATGGTAACGCAATATCTTTGGTGATTTTTTATTAATAGAGCATCTTTGATGAAAACACACGAAATTTTGTCACGACCATCACGGACATAAAACTGAATATTAAAAATAGTTAATATTATTTTTGTAACTATGTTTTGCTATTAATTAATTTACTTTTATGGCCATCATACAATAAACAGCTCACTAAGCTTTTGGTATATATGGTCTTTCTAGAAAAAAATAAAAAAACTCAAAAAGTTGAAAAAAAGCCAATAACATCTTTTTAAGTTTGTATAACTCCGAAAAAACTTACCTGAGACCCGAAAAATCGTTATGTTTTTATAGAGGTGTACTTCTTTTGTGTAAAAAACATTGAAATATGATGATATTTTAATTTTTGAAATTTTTATGATAGAAATCATCAACGTGATGGTCAGGGACAAGCGGTACGGTCGTGAATTGTCTGAAAAAATTTAAATCTTTGTAAACAATCCTTCAGTTATACTGTTAGTTATAATAAAAATATGTGTTTCAATTGAACTAAACTGTTCAATTTACAATGATATTTAAATTATTGTCACGACCAAACACAGTATAATCCATAAGGCTGGATTGGTCGTGAAAAAACCCGCGATGGTCGTGAAACTTTGGTCGTGACATTACGTGTTATTTGGCTCTGTTCTGGCGGTAGCCCTGCACCTCATGTTCGAGGATACAAAGTGGACTTCTAGGTTAATGTAGCAATTGAAATATCATATCAACAAAAATTAACCCCACGTCTACTTCATCAAATGACTACGTATGGTCATGGACACACCAAAATTACAAAAAACACAAAATTACGTTTATTAATCTTGTAACTACTTCTTTCAACACAAAACGACCGGCACAACAAACTTGACGTACACCCCGAACTAGTCTCTAAAACGAACTGACGCAATCGATGCCAGGCTTGCCACTGTCGTGCTCCAAAGTTGAAAATTTTTCCCAAATGGTCGTGACGCAAAATCGAGGGACAGACTTATTTTGTCATGGTAGTCAGTTTGCAATAACACTAAAATTATAATATGCTCCTTTTTTGTAAGTTTAATAACTATTGATGACATAAAAATATGGCTTTATATATTTCAGCATAAATAATTGGTCTAAAAACAGCGTGAAAGTTGGAAAATGTACCCTAGGGACACGTTATGGTCGTGAATTTCGAGACTTTAAAAATACGAAAAAAATACCTAGAACCTATTTAAAACCAAATAAATGTGTGTAACATGTTGCCCCCGTCCCAAAAAATATTAAAATACATAATAATAAACTACAAATCCAGTATCTACGAAGTAAAAGGCCAGGGACATGAAAACGTACGTTTTCAAATTTTCACTCATATATACATATATACACATAACTATATATATGTATAAATATATATAAATATGTATGTATATATATGTATATATACATATAGTCTAAGTCTAATATGTATAGTCTTCATCAGTAACCAAAAGTCTATGGTTGAACTTGGGCAATGGCACACACTGCCATCCGGTAGCTGCAAAAATGTGCATCTGTGATATTCTTATGATTGTGTAGCACTGGATCATCAAATAATTCAATTAAGTAAAAACTTAAAAAATATTAACAACAATGACTTCTGCAAAAAACACTTTTCTTTGTCACTGCACGCATATTGCTTTAAAATAAGCAATGTGGTACAGTACTTGAACATGGTACCAGTTAAAGAGGGTTATTTTGGTGTACAGAAAAAGAAATTGTTATTTTATTTTTATGCAAAATTGCACAGGTTCTCCTTGTTTATTGTGAACTGCCATATACTGTACATTTAAATTTAGATGCCGATCAACATAAAATAAAAGATGAAAGAATAAAGCTTGAAATATGGAAGTCTTATTACTTTGTACAACTTTAACATAAAATGCGAGTAGAGGATTAGCATAAAGACCTTAATGAATAAAAGAAACATTGAAAAATTTTATTTTAATTTAATTAAAAGCGTCGACTAAAGTAGTTTTAAAGTTATGTTTTCATTTATTTCTTCTCTGCAAACTTATTTTGTAGCCATCAATGGATAAGAGTGATATTACAAAAACATATCTTAGATTTAGAATGTTATCAGTGGCGTGAATCTTGTATCTTCTCAGTATATATGCCAACATGATTTTCATAGAGGTCATGGCATACTGCTTGCCTGAAAAAAAAAAATCACAATGTTTAATCTTGTTGTAAGTAATTAAAACATTGCTGCAAAAGTCGATATCCCGTTCCTAAGTAAATGCTGTAAAGTAAGGTTTATAAAAACTGACGTAGAGCTGAATTAAGCCACCGACAATAGATGCTGTCCATTCCTGATTTGTGTCAAATACACCAACATTGTACATGGCGAAACTGAAACGATACCCAACTCGTCAATGTAAACTATATACCGTTAACGTTACTTAAACTCTCACAGCAACAAAAACTAAGCGGGAAACAGAAAATAGCATCATGAAAGGATCACATCACCTTTTTAGAGGCTTAGGCCCTACTAATTTTTTTGTTTGTTTATACTTTTGATACTTTTAATTGAAATGACGACCATACAAAGTAGGTATTTTAAGCCAAGTATGAATGGAGATGAGTGTAGGATGAGTGGCGCAATCTTGTAGTCTTATTAGTGACTAAGGCCAACTGTCTCCTTAGACACAGCTGTTAATTAATAGCCCATACAGCTAATGGCAACTCTGGGACATACCGTTTATAGTGGAATCCAAACCACATATTTTTCATTTTAACTTACCAATACAGTTTCGTGGACCACCACTGAATGGTAGGAATGAATATGGATGTCTTTTTGCAGAGTTTTCTGGAGTGAACCGTTCTGGTTTGAACTCATAAGGATCTGGGTAAACCTCAGGGTCAAAATGAAGTCCTATAACACTGGTTACCAAACTGGCACCCTTGGGCACTGTATATTCACCTATTAAAAATAATAAACATGTTGTTGGTTTTGTTAGTAAATAAAAACATCAAGTTTGATGTTAAAGTTATTTTGTTCTCAAATTTGAAGCTGATACTTCCTAGTTAAGTTATATTCTTCCGCTACTGTAAGCTAGGTTTTGATATTTTCCCCTATGTTTTTTTACTCAGGTAAGGAGATCAAATAGGAAACCAAAAATAAAAATACAGTAACTCTAACTCAGATATCCTAGGAGCTTACTTTATCATGGGATACTAAACACTTTCAGTATTTTCTAAATTAATCAGTAGGACCACAGAGAAGTAAGGTACAGAGGAAACAGGGGATGCTTACTATACCCCCCGGAAAACCACCCCCCCCCCCAGATGAAACGTGATGTCACGAAATTTGCCAACTTTACAATATGGGAGCTGTGTCCACGACTGGAATACTACCTCCCTAGCAAATTGTGATGCTATGTAATTGTAATTTTAATTCAAGTAATTCCGTTTGATAACAGAAAATGCCTGTGAGGAATATCAAACAGAACTTTGAAATATTAAATTGCTATAAATTCCTATCCCACAGGGCAAAGGGTCTTTGTCCACCATGAGCGTTGTAGTACATGACGTGAGAGCGACGCGGGCGGAGTAGGACTTTCCCATAGAAATCAACACTATAGTCTGTTCACAAAACTATGCAGGTTGTGGGGAAGTGCCTCCACAACCCTTTTTGCTTTATGCAAAAAGCTCACATCAACACCCAATCACTCTCATACACATAGACGAAGTCAGAGTAATTTTTCGGCCTCAAAATTTCGAAATTATTGCAGTTTCTGAAACTTGGTTGAAGCCAAGTATTTCATCTGGATTGATCGCACTGCCTGGCTATTCAATTTTCAGAAATGATCGCCTGGGAAAAATAGGTGGTGGCGTCGCTGTCTATGTAAAAGATGGTTTGCAAGCCAGGCAGTTGTGCGAGTCCCCGGGTGAGTACTTGGCGAAACCCAAATTTATTTTTTTAGAAATTGGTTTGTGTGGTTCAGATGCTCTTCTCCTGGGGGCATGTTACCGCCCTCCGGGAGTGGGTCATCTGGCCGACTTTGAAAATTCTCTCTTGCGCCTCATGCCAGGCTACAGTCGTGTCTTGATCATGGGTGACTTTAACTGTGACTTACTCAAACCTGGAAGTTACTACTGCAGACAATTGACAAACATGTTTG